CTAATATAACAAAATACCTTACCTGATATCCAAGAATCCCAAGCATAGTTTCTCTTTGATCTTCCATTGACGTATGTGAGGTACCAAAATCCAAGGCAGCCCTTGCAAGGGGAGTATCAGCATCTTGATTCTCAATACCATATTTGCAACAATCTTCAGCCAACTTTCTGGCTACACTAGTCAAGTTGAAATTTTTATCATCTACGTGCCTCATCATTGAATAAACTTTAGAGAAGGGAAAAAGCTTACAGACCTATCTCCATTTGTTTTTTGCCAGTGGTAATAAATCCCTCTACCCCACGAACAATATCCTTCTGGAAATGCTGTGTAACATTAAGAATTTAAGACTCTTCTCACATAAAAAGCTCCTTTAAATGTGACAGATGAAGTTGTATAGGAGAATTAACCAGATTCAGAAACCAGTAAAGCAAATCACATAAAAATAGGTATACCTCATGAATTTTACCTTGGCTGCCCGGGTAGATTTGTATAAATTCTGAAGTTGTTGATGACACTGTATTCCAGCTTCATCAATCATAACCGCTTCCTGGCCCAAGTGACCCAGCTGTCTCAAAATTGCCTGCCAAGTAAGGAACATTAATATCTCTTCAAATGAAATACATCAAAAGCCAAGAACAATCAAACGCTTCCATGCTTGATAAAAATGTTGTTCATTCTCCATTTACTATATAAGTAGCAACTCCAAAATGAAGTATAACCAGAAAGTGACTAATGATAACAGAAGAAGTCCATTCAGAGATTACATAAGATTAAAACAAAGATGAAAATACTGTTCATGAACATTAAACGTCACAAAATTGACATATTCCATTCATATAATTACTTAAAAATAAAGAGATGTGGACTAGGCAACTTGGAAGGTACACATAAAGTCCACCTTTGCTGGGGCTATAACCGTTTTAGCTTTCTGTCTGAATTTATTTTAGCAAAGACACTCATAATTAAAAGTCCTTGAGCTCAAAGATCATCCATATTGCAACTGTTTTGGCCAAGAAAAGGTAAAAAAGAACTCTAGGTAAAACATCTAAGATTTATAATTGACCAAGCTTACCAGCAGGGCTTGATATCACCAGCTCAAGATATTTATTTATTTAAGCATTGCACTCTGATTTATTCTATAATGTTTCAAGTTAATACATACCAACTTTCTGAATAATTGTGTTTTATACAGAAGGTATCTCTCTTTTATACATGTCATCCTAGGTAGAGAGGTCTATTTTGTTATTCACTGAATTATTGCTTGGGGGGAACGGGGAGAAAAGCAGTTGCCTCACATAGATTAGTAAAGAAAAAAATTTAAAGCTGGGCTTCATCCCAGAACTTGTCCCTTGGTGGGGGAGGAGAAGGTGTGAAAAAGAAAACAAAAAAAGTAGCATCTTCCAGCGACAATTACATCTTGAAAACATGAGGTT